CTCTACCCAGAACAACCTCCGCCTGAAGTGCTGGGTCCCCACACAGCAGCACAGAGGGGAGTTGCCTCTTGGCTGTGTAGAGCTCTCCTGTGCCACCCCTCACACACACACACACACACACACACACACACACACACACACACACCCCACAGACCGGGTCTCCACAAGCTCAGACCAGAAGAGGGCAACAGCAGATCCGAGTCTGGAGCCTGGCCTTGGGAGTGAAGTTGACTCCCGAACTGTAGGGGATTTGGAGACAGTGTGCTGAGGGCACACCTGAGTATCTCGCCTTTGCGTGGATACAGTACACACAGTGTGTGGACATACGGCAGGCAGGCAGGCAGGCAGGCAGGCAGGCAGCTGGACTGGAATAGCTGGGAAGCCTGGGAGCTGAAGGTGCTTAGGGATGGTTTGAAGAGATGGTTCATGGGGGTAGAAGAAGGAAAAGTGCCAGTAGACAGGCCACAGAGAGTGAACAGAAGGAGCCAGGGCAGTAAACCTCCAAGGACCCACCTCCAACTAAGACTCAGTTCCCAGAGCTTAGAGAGCACCCCAAAACAGTGTCATTAGCTGCAGGGGGCGGCTTTCCTGACAAGGGGACAAGGAAGACACTTCAGATTCAAATTAGGACTCCAACAAACCAGCACCCATTGTAACAGTCCAAAGGGCGTCTGGTTCCACAGTTCCTCCAGGATTCTGTCTCTAAGCCCACATCCCGCACCCATACTGGGAATTGGTCCACAGGTCGTTACTGTGAACTTTGGCGAAGCTCTCCGAGGCATCTAAAGGAAATGAATTTTGGTTTTCTTGCATAGCCTGTCTGCGGCGCCCTGGTTTTGAACCCTACACTTAGCAGAGGAAACGCTCTTTCCCCGACTTGTCTCGTGGACGCAGCTAGTCTGGGACTCAGCTCAGACCCAGGGGCCTTGCCAACAATCCATGACTGGTGATTTTCTAAGGATCAAGTGTTAAATTAAAACAAGGGCTTCCCTGGCTCAGCCTGAGGCATTCGCTAACTAACTGTGTGTCCGGGGAGGAGCAGCACCCCCAAAATAAAAGCTTATGGATTTGCTGCTGATACCATGGCCTATAACTCAGACTGCTTCTGCAGGCAGCTTTTCTACTCACACAATTAAGAAAGGAAGCTGCTCTCTTAATGGCTGGAATTAACTCGAAATGAAGGCAGCTGGGAAGAAAGGATGCTGACCTCCTCCCTCTGGCCTGATTATCTTAATTAACACTGCATGGCAGGGGTTTGGAGGCCAGCATTGATCGTCCTATTCCTGTTTGTCGCCCTCAGAGCCCTAGACACAAGTTAACCCGGCCATAATAGTCAAAACCCAATACTCAATGGTCTCCTGGTCTTCCTGCAAGAGAAATGTGGGGTATGTGGCTTAGAGGGGATCCTTTAGGCCCACGCTTCTCAAAGCATCGCCTGAGAATGACTTGCATCAAAGGAGCCTGGGGTACAGTTTTAGAATGTTACTTTCAACAGCCTCCAGGCCTGTGGGATCTCTGGAGCTCCAGCAGTGGGTTTTAGCTAGTTAAATTGATTTTTTTTTCTTTCGAGGCAGAGTCTTACATTGTTCAGGCTGGCCTTGAACTTGCTATGTAGCCAAGGATGAACTTGAGCCCCAAATCCTCCTCCTTCTCCCTCCCAATTTCTAGGGTTGAAAGTATGTACCACCACCACACCTGGCTTAGTTCTTTTTTAAATTGTGACAAAATGTGCATGGCATGAACTCTGTCATTTAAATCGTTGTAAGGGTGCATGCATCTGAGTGGCATTAAACACTTTCACGACTGACTGTCTTCAGAACTTCCTCAAGGTTCTGAGTTTTTTGGAATTCTGGGTCCATTGAGCCATCTTGCCCCACCTGCTCCTTTCAGCCTCTGATAATCTCACTGTGTCTTTTGTCTCTGTAAAGTTGTTTATTCTAGAAACCTCGTGTAAAATAAGTTGTCACCCAGTGGGAGAGCGTTTGTTTAGCCTGTGCCAGAGTTTGGAATCACACAGTATTTGTTCTTCTGTATCTTACTGATTATATTTAGTATATCGTTTTCAAAATCGATCCATAGCTGGGCCGTGGTGGCACATGCCTTAATCCTAGCACTTGGGAGGCAGAGGCAGGCAGATCTCAGTGAGTTCAAAGCCAGCTTGTTCTACAGAGATAGTTCCAAGATAGCCAGGGCTATACAAAGAAACCCTGTCTCAAAAGCAAACAAAAAAAAAATCCATCCATGTTGTAGCATGTGTCCCAATTTTATTTCTGTGGGGCTGGAGAGATGACTCAGCAGGTACCTGAGGTTGGTCCCTGGAACCCATGGGAAAGTAGAAGCAAAGAAGTGACTTCATGGAGTGGTTCTGTGACCTATGTGTGCAATACACACATAATAATAATAATAATAATAATAATAATAATAATAATAATAATAATAATTTAAAAGGACTTCCATTCCTTTTTAAGGCTGAGTTGTACACCCAATCCTGGGTTTGCTCTTGCTGTTTCTTGGTTTATTCTTGCCTCAGCTATTGTGAACCTCTCTGGCATTAGAAATCCTAGGATTCATGGTGTTCCCCTGCCCCTTATGGTTGAGGTGGAGTCAGGATTGCAGCCAAAGGAGCAGGTGATCAAACCATCTGTGCCTGGAGTCACCTGTTGAGAGCTAAGAACTCCAGGGGCCCATGCCTCACCCTCCTAGGGATGTCCAACCTTTTAACATCGCAACATAGTGTTAAGAACCTTGCAATCAAGTTACAAAGAAAATAAATTGAGCAAACATAATATCGTATTTTTAAACTGTAAGTTTACAGTTTTTTTGTTGAGCAGCATTCCTGGCTCTCTTTGACTGCATGGGAACTGTGGGCTGTGTTTATGTCAGACATGCCTGCTAGGTCAACTAAGATCAGCCTTTCTCTGCCGGGACCTAGGCTCAGACCCCAGGTGATTTCAAGGAGTTAGCAAATTCAACGATTATTGATTTATGCCAATGACTTATGGGCCGGAGTGTATCTACAATTTTACATCTGTTAAGAATACAGAATTTTGAGAATGCGCCATCTTCAGTATCTCACTGAATAGGCATAGGGAGGCCCAGACCTCACAGGTCTCCAGACTACAGGGATTCTAACATGTAACCAGGTAGGACTGTTCATCGTGGCCAGTCTCTAAATGAACCCTAAGGACACTAGGGCTGGAGAGAGGACCCTGGTCCCCCCTCTCCCTGAAGCTTAGTCTTCATGATTGGTTCCCAAGCCATCCGACTGTTCAGTGCAGGGGGTGAAACTGTTTACAAAACCAGAATCCTCCATCCGTCACTGAATTATAATGCTTGTTTCAAAATATGAACTTGTTCCTAAGAAAATTGATGTATTTGGGAATATTATTGATGTATTAAGAGCTTGAATGGGGATATAGTTCAGTGAAAAAGCTCTTGCCTAACGTGCCCAAGGCCATGAGTTCAATCAATAGCAACAAAACAAAACAAAAACCCCTGGTATTAGAAATACCTCGTTCATTTTTTCCTTATGTGCAATTTCTTATACGCAAAGACAAAAAGCTGCACCAAGCTGAACTAAGCCACCTACGAGGACACAAAATACACCCTGGTGTCTGTCAGCTGCATCCACTCTCCGTGTGTTTGGGGCCTCAGGCATCTACAGTTGGCGTTCAGATTTTCCCCCTGATACCAGACAGCCTCCCCACTTCCCACCATCTCATATTAATGCAGCGACTGAAACCCTCCTGGTACCCACTTCCACCAGCAAACCTCAGGTCTTTTCCAAAGCCGAGTACCCTGTCTATCAGAGTATTAATGGGTCTCTTGTTCAATTGAGTAGGCTAACCACATACCAGTTTTATTTTATACCTATCCTTTTTGTGTGTGCTGATGATGAATCCTTCAAGCCTTATACTCTTACCTTACTTCTCCTATAAATCCTGGGAGTAAAGAGTATGACTTTGGCAGTGGTTTTTGGTTTTGTTTGAGATAAGGTTTGACTGTGGAACTCGGCCTTGTACACTCGATTCTCTGCCTCCATTTCTGGAGTCCTAGGATTACAGGCAGGCCCCACCATACCCAGCTGCAGTGCAATGACTTGTCTTGAGTGGGTGTCCGTGGTGGGTGGAGGATCGAACCCAAGACCTTATGCATGCTCTTCCTCTATGAACAGAGAATGCATATGTTATGGAATCCACTTCATGTGTTTCTTTTTGTCATCTGGATAATAAGTTGTGAACACATTGCCCCTGAAGTTTGTCTGCCTTTCTTCCTTTCCGCCGCTCTTGGTAACCACTAGAGGGCAGACTCGTCTGATGGAAGCAGAAAGGATTCCCTGAAGGTTAGGGTCCAGCCCCTCAACCTACAGAGAAGCAAGTGGCCATGGCTCCCCTGCTTCCCTTGGGCTCTCCACCCACGTGCAGGACCTTGCTCCCTTCTGGGGTCACCCACTTAGGGGTGTGGCTTCAGTCACTTGCTTTTCTCAGGTCCCACGCCCACACTACTCCGTCCTCACAGCCCACCTCTTGCTGCGTGGACTCCTTCCTGGAATCTCTACATTCTGAAGTCGGAGTCAGGAAGAGCGTGGCAGTTTGGCACTCGGCTTTAGTTAGGTTTGCCTTGGTGGTGTTAGATGTCTTTACATCCACACATTTGAGTTTCTGGCTCCCATTTCAGAACAAATGCTTGCCGGTTCCCCACCCAGCTCTCAGCATGAGCCTCTCCCAACACCTCATCTCACTGCTTAGCTGGCTCCCCTGCTCACCTGTCCTGCCAGTCATCCTAACCAGAGATCTGCTTCAGAGGTAAAAATAGAATTATTCCATCCTTCTATCCCTCTTAAAGACTTAGGTCTGCATGATATCTTTGTAATTAGAACATGTGCCCAAAAGAGTTTTGTTTAAAATCTACTTGTTCAGCTGGTTTCATCTTCCTTACTATAATTTTAGCTTCTCTTGTGAATCTGGAAATTGAAATATCTTGAAATATGTGTTATTTAGGGCTGTCACTCATTACCAGAAATTCAAGGTCATTGAGTTCAGCAGTCGTACCTGGGGACCAACACTGATCTCGTCAAAATCAGAATTGAAACGAAGACATTTAACTGTGCTTTTCTGAGCTGGCATCCTCACACTGGTGTCTCCGAGGGAATTTCTCCATCCGGTTACATAAGATGAGAAATCAGCCTGATGTTTGGGTAAGATAACAGCTGCAAAGCCAGCAGTGACTTGGGGACCACGCAAGCTCTTTCCTGCACCTTCTTGCGTCTCAACACCGTGTTTATCTTAGAGTCGCTTAAAAACCCTGATTGGTGGGGTCGGAGTTTCTGTTCTCTTACCTTCTAGAACAGAGGCCAACAAACTGTGGTCTGTGTTTAGACTGCACAGCCTAACACACTTACCCGTTAGCCCTGCACACACAGTGTTTCCACCCCCAGCCTATGAACCACGGTGGTCGTTTCCAGGTGTATATAAGGCCCTCTACATCGCATTAAAAGAGGTAGGCTCTGAGTCTGGGCACAGCGTTGGGTTTGTGATGCCAAGGGAGGGTAAGGTCTCAGAACTGTCAGATTTCCAAAGTAAGACCTCAATGCCTGTGAAGAAGCTATGCATAGTGGCCTGTGTCTGTAGCCCCGATGCTTGGGAATGGGGGCTGAAGAGACCCTGAAAACTTGTTGGGTAGCTGGGCAAGTCAGAGCAGTGTGCTTCCAGTTCTGTGAGGGCCTCTGCCCCAAGGCAGTAAGGCAGACGTGATCGAGGAAGACACCCAACATCCTGCCCTGGCCTCTGCCAGCACGCACATGGGTGTCCACAACCTTACACTCCCTGCATGCACTGTACAGATGCACACCACAGAATAAACCGTATGAGGGGCACTACAGTAGACTGTCTGCTGCCAGGTGATCTGACTGCACAGTAGAGCACTGTGGCCTCCTCGGGTGTGGGCAATGAGGCCCTACTCTGGCAAGCTTTGGAGGCCACAGTAGACCCCACTTCCCACTGTCGGATCCGCCATTTTGTTTATTTTCCTATGTGGGTTCCAACCCTGGTTTGCGCATTCTTCTCTCCACTGAACTGCATCTTCAGAGTCTTCATTTTGGATACCACGCAACAGACATACATTTCACACTGGATTCCTTCAATCTGCTTTTCAGGGTTCCACTAGCCTCTAGAACAGTCTTGGGGTTGCATGCCAAGAGAGATAGAGCTTTGTTTGGGGTCCATTTCAGTAGCTAACTCCTGTATCTCATCTCAAACTGTTCTTCTCTCTCCTGGTGGATTCTAGTCTTCCCTCTCTAGACTTGCTCTACCAGCCAGGACTTATTTTGGGTGATGACCAGAGCCGCAGGGGAGAAAGGATGTGTGCACACTTGAAGTTGGCAGGTACAGCAGCGTGATGGCAAGTCTAGGCAGGACAAACAGGAATCTGCAAGGAGAGAGATGCATGGCTCAAGGGATGGTACAAGAGGCCAGTGTCCCTTTAAAGGCACACCCTCGGTGACCTAAGTTCCTTACACTAAGCCCCACCCCCTAAAGGCTTTGCTACCTCCCAGGGGAGTCATAGGATGACAATCAATCCTTTAACACCCAGGCCCAGTGGGGAATACTTTCTAGAACACAGAACCTTTCAGTGGCGGCTTTTGATGGGAGCCATTGGCAGCAAGTGAGATGTGTTCTAAAGATGGAAGAGCCATACACTTGGAAGATGTCTTAGTTACTGATCTAATGCCACGGAGAGACACCATGACCAGAGCATCTCTTAGACAGTATTTAATGGGGGCTTGTTCCAGAGGCTTAGTACACTATCATTATGGTGGGAACATGGTGGCAGACACGGCAGGCACAGTGTTGGAGAAGTAGTTGAGAACTGTATCCTGATTCACAGGCCGAGAAAGAGAGACTAACTGGGCCTGGCGTGGAATTTTGAAACCACAAAGCCCACTCCCAGTGACACACTTCCTCCAGCATATTCCCCCTAATTCTTCTAATCCTTTCAAAGAGTTCCACTCTCCGGTGACTAAACGTTCAAGTATCTGAGCCTGTGAGGGCCATTCTTATTCAGACCACCGCAGAAAACGTTAAGCTTTCTGAGATCCTTGTTAATGTTTTCTGTTCTCACACAGCACCTATGCTTGGAACACATGACAGACACTTCTGCGAGACACCCTTTGCTGCTGAGACACATGGATGGATGCTAACCCGCCTACACCGAACTTCAGCAGGTAGGTGTGTCATACTGTGTCAGGCGTGCAACAGGTGCACAGTCCACCTCATCAAGCTGACCAAATCTGATTCTTTATGACGATACATAAGGTACTCAGTGCCTATAAGATGACACGCATAGCGTGTCCAGCTAGCTCAGATCTTTGGGGATGGCTACAATCTGGCTAGAATGCAGTAGGGAAAGTGATGTGTTTATGACCTGTCCATGAGCTGAGGTTCTGGAAGTAAGGAATGGGGAGCCCCTGGATGAACAGAAGTAAAAATATCTCGTCCTTATGATTCTCACCTTCCCTCCATAGCTCTGGAACTGATGAACAAACCCTGAGTAGGTAACAGGGTTGTTGTTGTTGTTTGTTTGGTGTTGGAGAGGAGACCTTGAACCTGGGACATGCTGGACAAGTCCTCTAGCATTGAGCAACCTCCTTAGCTCGCAGTGTCTTTAAAGCACTGATGCCCAGTGTGTAAAGTATGCAGTAGCAATTGTTTGAGAAGAAGAGTGAGTGGCTCTCTCCCACCCAGCAGAGTGTTTGTGGAGTCAGCTGAGCGAAGGGCCCCAAGGAACACCGCATCACACAGGAAACCCTCAAGTGCTGAGAACCCGGGTGTAGACCCTCAGGTTGTGATGTGTTTTTATTCTGCTCTTTCCCCCATAGATCATGGCAGATCAGCTTGACCTTCTCTTAAGTGTGATCTTCATGGCCAGCCCCATGCTGGGAATGTCTCCCTGTTCTTCCAATGGCCAGATTGCCTTATTTCGCCACTGTAACCTTACCCAGATCCCCTGGGTCCTCAACACCACGGAGAGGCTCCTTCTCAGCTTCAACTACATCAGTGTGGTCAACGCCACGTCATTTCCATTCCTGGGGCAGCTCCTGCTGCTGGAGCTGGGAACCCAGTTTACACCCATGACCATCGGCCGGGAGGCCTTCAGAAACCTGCCCAATCTGAGGATCTTGGACCTGGGCCAAAACCACATTGAAGTCTTGAGTCCAGACACTTTTCAGGGACTTCCCCATCTCATGGAACTTCGACTGTTTTCCTGTAAGCTCTCCAGTGTTGTGCTAAGAGATGGTTACTTCAGAAATCTAACTTCATTGGCTCGCTTAGACCTCTCTGGCAACCAGATTTACAGCCTTCATCTCCATTCTTCATTTCAGGAACTGAATTCCTTAAAAGCCATAGATTTTTCTTTCAATAACATAGTCCCTTTATGTGAGGATGAACTCAAGCCCCTGCAGGGCAAAACACTCTCTTTCTTTGGCCTCAAATCAACTAGCCTGTTCAGCAGAGTCTCTGTGAGTTGGGAGACTTGCAAAAACCCCTTCAGAGGCATGTGGCTGGAAACTCTAGATCTCTCTGAAAATGGTTGGACAGTGGACATCACAGGCAACTTTAGCAATGTCATCCGGGGAAGCCAAGTCACCTCTTTGATTCTTACGTACCACATAATGGGGTCTGGCTTTGGCTTCCAGAACATCAGAGACCCTGACCAGAACACGTTTGCTGGCCTGGCTAGAAGTTCGGTGATGTTCCTGGACCTTTCGCATGGTTATATCTTCTCCTTGAATTCCAGAGTGTTTGAGACGCTGAAATATTTGAAGTTTCTGAGCCTTGCCTCCAACAAGATAAACAAGATTTCAGAAGATGCGTTTTATGGACTTGACAATCTCCAAGTTCTCAATATGTCATGTAATCTTTTGGGAGAACTTTATAATTCCAACTTCTACGGGCTACCTAGAGTCGCTTACATTGACCTTCAAAAGAACCATATTGGGATCATTCAATACCAAACGTTCAGATCCCTGGAGAACTTACAAACCTTGGATCTCCGCGATAATGCTCTCAAAACCATCAATTTCATTCCAAGCATCCTGACCGTCTTACTGGGCGGCAATAAGCTGGTCGATCTGCCACGTGTCCGCTTTACAGCCAACTTCATCGAATTATCCGAGAACAAACTAGAAGATTTGTCAGACCTCTACTTTCTCCTGCAAGTTCCCCAGCTCCAGTCCCTCATCCTGAACCAGAATCGCCTTTCCTCCTGCAAGGCAGTCTACACCCCTTCCAAGAACCTGAGCTTGGAACATCTTTTCCTGGCAGGAAACATGCTGCAGCTTGCCTGGGAGACTGGCCTCTGCTGGGATGTTTTCAAAGGCCTTTTCCACCTCCGAGTCCTGTACCTGAATAGTAACTACCTTAATTTCCTCCCTCCTGGAATATTTAGCGACCTGGTTTCGTTACAGTTGCTCAATCTTGGCGCTAACAGGTTGACCTCTCTCTCTCCTGGCAGCTTACCTGCTACTCTAGAGTTTCTTGATATATCTAGAAATCAGCTCTTCTCTCCTGATCCTGGGTCGTTTGCTTCACTTAGCTCCTTGGACATAACGCATAACGAGTTCGTCTGCCAGTGTGAACTTATCCCTTTCATCACCTGGCTCAACCAAACCAATGTCACCCTGCAGGGCTCTCCTGCAGACATATACTGCATGTACCCTGACTCGCTAGTAGGGGTCTCCCTTTATGACGTCTCCACCAAGGAGTGTGATGAAGAGGAAGTCTTGCAGTCCATAAAGTTTTCCCTTTTCGTCCTGTGCACCGTCACTTTGTCCTTGCTCCTCGTCACCACCTTCACGTTCATAAAGTTCCGGGGGACTTGTTTCCTGTGTTATAAGAACATTCAGAGACTGGTGTTCAAGGACAAGGTCCGGAGTTTGGAACCCAGTGCATACCAATACGATGCCTACTTTTGCTTCAGTAGCAAAGACTTCGAATGGGCACAGAATGCTCTGCTCAAACACCTGGATGCCCAGTACAGTTCCCGAAACAGACTTAGGCTGTGCTTCGAAGAGAGAGACTTCATCCCAGGAGAAAACCACATCTCCAACATCCAGGCGGCTGTCTGGGGCAGCAGAAAGACCGTGTGCCTAGTGAGCAGACAATTCCTTAAGGATGGCTGGTGCCTGGAAGCCTTCAGGTATGCCCAGAGCCGGTGCCTGTCTGACCTCAAGAATGTTCTCGTCGTGGTGGTGGTGGGGTCCCTGTCCCAGTATCAGCTGATGAGACATGAGACCATCAGAGGGTTTCTTCAAAAGCAACAGTACTTGAGATGGCCTGAGGACCTCCAGGACGTTGACTGGTTTCTCAATAAACTCTCTGGGTGCATACTAAAGGAAGAAAAAGGGAAGAAGAGAAGCGGTACCATTCCGTTGCAAACTGTAACAACCATTTTCTAGTGGAAAGAGCCATTTCCAAGTGTCAGGGAGAACTCTGCACATTGTATGTGCTCAACCGTGTGGGGGTCGTTCCCAGGGGTTGTTTTCTGTCCATGAGAACATCATCAATCTCTTGGTGTTCATGTCAACAGATGTTCTGTGCCACTGACCTACTAATGGAAAATGACGAAAAGCCGCAGCTGCCTCTCAAGTTTCCCACTCTCTGTCGATGTTCTTCTGGGCCCAATAACACTGTTTCCTCCCATCCTGTTGCATACTGCCTGCCCCCTAGATGGTGAGGCCACCTTGGGAGAAGTTACGGTGGTGTCATGCTTCCTGTGTTGTTCACTCTGAGAACAGGCTGTCACTGTAGAACATGGACAGCTGAGATGGGACTTTCTCGGGCCACGGGAGTGATACCAGTGCTGAGGACCGCTGTCTCTCTACATTGGTGATAAGACCTTGGATGTCAGCAACCCCATCACAGCGGCCCTCATGCACTTACTTCATGTCGTGACCCTGCAGGCTCAGCTTCTGTGGGTCATGGCCATCTTCCGCACTGGACCGTTCATCCGGTGCCCACGCCTATTCACAAATTAGCACCAGCCTGACCCTTCTACATCCTCCCCTACAACCGTACAACAGCTGTTGTACGCACTACACACTGTAAGAAGGGTGTGGACTTGACACAGATTTCTTACTGATTCTGTGGTTTCTTAACCATGGAACTTGAGCTTTCTATATCATGCCTGGGCCTCAGTGTTCTCCCCTGTAGGCCTAGCAACATCTACCTCATCAGTATGCCGCGAATGCTCATTGGCCAAGAATGTGGTGACTTCTCTGATAGTTTTCATTGCCCTAAGACCACAGATGAAGACTCACATTCAAAGGCCCCTGGAGGCTATCGTAATTTCTTGAATTTGTATTTTTTTATCCTAAAAGGAGTTTATGTGCATTCTAATCATTTTGTGTGTTTATTAACATAGCAATGTTTCTCTGCAAAAGCATTAAGAAACCTTAAACCAAAGAACTGTGTTGCAGGTCCCCAGCCCCTCGTTTGAACTCCTTCACGTTGTGTACTCACCCCTAGGCCAGCTGTTGCAGCCTGAATACCTGGAGGGGCACAGCACCTCCCTGTGACCGACACACACACCCCAGTCACTGAAATGTATGCCAACGATGTATTTGGTATGTGTGAGGACACCCCAACTGTGAGCCCTGCTGGCCAACCCTTTTTTGTTTGCCTGTGTCCTGGGCCAAGGATGGGACCTGACCCATAGTAAGTTCTTAATGAAGCGATAACCACGAAGTCTGGCCAATAATTTATTAGGGGGCACAATGGAAAAACAGATCATGAATACAGAACAAGGTAGACACTGCTTCTGATCCAGCTGCCGTTGCCCTGCTGTTCTGCCATGGGCGATGAGGACCAACCACAAGTCTTGCTTCTGCTCCAACCATGAGAGAAAGAGACAGAGAGAGAGAGACAGACACGGAGAGAGAGAGAGCCTCCTCCTCAGATTTATTCGGTCCCATAGCCAGAGAAAACCATGCGCATAGGGCTAGTTACCCCCAATGTCTTTGGCTGAAAAAGATCAAATGTCCATAACATCTTAATAAATACCTAAGTATCGAGTGACACCCACTTTCTTAAGTGTCAGCGTGGTTGTCGTCTGCTCCTAGCTCTCCAGGGATGGGTAGGACGGGGCTAGGCTGTGACAGTGACGCCACAGAGAAACTGAAGGCCGATGAAGGCGGAAGATGCTAGGTTCGGGGAAGCACTGGGCTTGTGGTGTGGAGGTACTGGAGGGGACTCATCCAGAACAGCCAAGAGCGGTGCTGGGCTTGAGGAGCGGGTATGGGGAGGCAGCAAAGCAGCTCTGGCTTATTCATGGAGACTGCCTTCTCTTGATCCTTGTTCTAAGGGGTACAGCAAAACCGGACCCCAACTTTCCTCACGGTTGCAACCACAGCTCCTGAAGATGAAGGAAGATGATGCTGGCTGATTCCGTCTCACCTCCCTGCTGTCTGTCAGCCTTGGCTCTGCACACGCTGCAGGCACAGCTATGATGCTCAGCAGGTCTGGCGGAGCCTCTCCCCGCAGCGCAGCTAAAGAGGGGCAGATCAGGGAAAGAGCAGACACGCAGTTTCTTATGTCTGCCTTCTTTTCTGAAAGACTCCGAAAGGCATAACTTTTCTCTTTTTCTCTCTACCCCTGTCCTAGCATGTTTTTCCTACACTCTGGACCTCCATTCTTCTTTCCAGAGTTCCCGCTATGCCATGTGGTCTTCACGACAGCTTTCCCCATTTTCTTCTCCACTCTATCCCTCCCGGCATCTGCTAAGATTCACACCCTGCCTGCCCTGGGGTTGTTGTTTGTTCTGTTTTCAAAGTTAAACTCTAAAAGAAGCATTCTCAAGCTTTTAAAAAAAAAATTATCCCGCTGCTTAGCATGAAAATTGAAGGGTACTCGTTCCCTTTAGTCACTGGAGAAATCTAAATCAAGACCACATTGGTGTGGCACGCCCCACCCACCAAGATAACTAACATCAAGATGACTGGCAGTACCAAACAGTGAAAAAGACATGGAGCAATGGAAACGCCCTGGTTGACCGTGCATATGTAAGTTAGCATCTTTTCAGAAAGCCAACTGTCATTTCCTGATGGAGTTGAATCCATACATGTCCCCCACATGCCGGACACATTACATATTCCACCAGACGCCTTATCAGCATTCTTTACAATAGCCAATGCAAGGAGCAACTTCCTTGTCCATTAGCCATGAAAGGACAGACTGTCATGGAGAAAGACATACACGGACCCTTCAGTAACTGCAGCTATCCGGCACCGCCGGCGCCAACCTCACAGAAATGCTGGCAGGAGAGCGTAATGATTGCGTCTGAAAAGACAGCACCTGCTTATGGTGGTTGTGCTGACAGCAGTCACCTCTGAGGCATATGGAAGGGACCTCTGAGACACCAGGTAGGCTCCATGTCCTGACCTGGCAGTGGTGACCATGTGTGTCTACTTTGTGAAAAGGAGTTTCTGTGCACCCACAACCTGTTCACTTTTGCTGGAGGTCGTATTCTGCAGTTTGAAATCAGAGAAGCGTAAGAAACCAGGACATTTTTATCTTGTCTGTAGAACAGGCAGGGCAAATATCTCATCCCCCTGACACCTTAGTTTCGTTGAGAAAGCCGCCGGGTATCACTGGGTTTCCCTGTACTGTCCTTACCAAAGCAGTGATTTCTCTGGAACTTTGGGAGATCGTTAGGGTACAAGAGGACACGAGCTTTCATTTTATATCTTTGGTATTAATTTAATTTTTTTCTTTCTACATTAAATAAAGTGTGTGTGTGTGTGTGTGTGTGTGTGTGTGTGTGTGTATGCATGTCACCATATGTGATCAGATGTAGTGTAATGCCTGTACTACAGGATGGTTCACGAGTCAGGCAAGGGGCTGGAGATTGAAACACATATATATACACACACACACACACACAGAGAGAGAGAGAGAGAGAGAGAGAGAGAGAGAGAGAGAGAGAGTCATCCTTGAAACAAGAATGTCAATTTTATTGTGTTCCAGGGCAGCTTATATAGGGCTCTCCTTGACTAATGGCCACACCCTAGCTCTCGGGGATTTTCAGCTGCAAGCCCATCAGAAACCACTCCACTGCCATCAGGAACTCATGAGGGTCTCGTGCCCAGAGCAGCTGCAAGCACAGGAAAACCAGTTGTTTACTTCGGCAGGCAAGGGGTCACAGAAAATTTAGGGTCTGTAACTCCCAAAAATCAGAGATAGAAACAACTTGTGGGAAATTGTTCTCTTCCCCCATCATGTGGGCTATGATGATTGAACTCAGATTGCCAGGTGTGGTGCCGAACCACTTTACCGACTAAGCTATCCTTGCGCCAACTCAATGAAGCCTTTGGTACTATTTAATGTTTAACAGTGTGTATGTATTTTGTTAATGAAACTTTAAATAGACAAAATAAATATGCCCTCACTTAAAACCAAGGTGATAAGTCTGTGTAAAAGGCAGAGGATATAACAATTATCACCTAGAATTTATTTTATCTCCTTACATTTTCTTTCAAGACCGAGCCTTACCTTGTTGCCCAGGTCGGAATCGCAAGCATATGCCCCATACTAGATCATCACTTTTCTTTCTGAGACAGGGTTTCTCTGTGTAGCGGTCCTAGCTGTCCTGGAACTAGCTCTTGTAGACCAGGCTGGCCTCGAACTCGTGGAGATCCACCTGCCTCTGCCTTCCAAGTGCTGGGATTAAAGGCCTGCACCACCACCGCCTGGCTAGCTCATTTAATTTTAAAATTTTTAAATGTTTAATTTTTAAACAAGTAAGATAGAACAATTATTTCAACTGATCAATAGATATGAACGAATCATGTAGGGCTAGCAAGATGGCTCAGGAGATGGAGGAGGCCGCTGTGCAAGCCTGGTGATGTCAGCTTGATCTCTGGAAGCAGACGCAGAGGAGACGGCTGACCCCACAGTTGTCTTCTGACCGCTACACATGTGCTGTGGCCCAGATGCACACCTGCACACACACATACGTCATGTGAGTTCACACTGCACAATGATAAATATTTTTGAAGATTTTATATGTATGTGTTATATTTTGCTGTTTTCCTTGTGAGTAAAGGAATTTTTCATCTGTTTTACTTAGCAATTAAGTATTTTATTTCTCATCAGCCACAATAACTTTCATTTAGATGGCGCCTTAAAGAAATTCAGCATTTTTATTTGACAGAAAATTCCATGGAAAGAACCCGCTAAAGCTGCTCTGTTCCTCCCTAGCAGCAATGGCCCAGGTAATTCAGACAGGAGGGCTTTATTTCTGAAACATGGGCATCTGACCCAGATGACTGGAGATTCTGTTTCTTTTCCCAATTAAGGTGGCAGGGCTCTATTTTCTCATCTCCTCCCAGAAAGGCTGCCTCACTGCGATGTGATAAAAAACCAATGACATCATGTCTCACTGGGGCTCAGCCTTCCTCCAGGAAACAGGTGTTTTGGCTAAGAGGAGCCTGGACCTTTTTCTCTGCTATGATGACCTACGTGTGCTGCTCAAGAAGTCCTCAGGGCCCAGCACTCAAGGCCGGGCATCTACATGGTTTTTCCAGTGACCTGTGCGTGGGCAGAGCATCTTCCAAGCCTGCAATTCATGCCAAGAATGGAGGGATTTACACAAGAAAGTTGCCAACGGTGTGGCCCTGTGAAGGTTAGGAAAACTTTTGGGAGAGGGAACTAGAAAGCCCACTTGTGCCTGGAAATAAGACATCCAACAAGAGGTCATGCCGAGGTGTAGGAGCAGGTATGGGGTCTGGATGGGCAAAGTTATCCCTCTGGCCTTGCTCAAGCTGTAGCCCTGAAGCAAGCCTTGAGGCTCTTACAGAACAACTCCTAGAGACACTCACAGAAAATGTCAGGGGTTTGGAATTGGGGGACCCCAGGTATAATGCTACGTGCATCTCTTGTCACCCTTGGAGCTTCACGGATTAGGGTGTAGTCATAGTTTTTACCTAAGTTGGTGAGATGGTTCAGCTGGCAAACACGCTTGTCCCCAAGCCTAGTGACCAGAGGTCCATCCCCAGGACCCACATGATGGAAGGAGAGAAACAGTTCCCACAGGTTGTTCTCTGACATCTACATGTATGGTATGGCATATGGGTGGACACACAAGCAGTATGTGCACACACACACACACACACACGCACACGCATGAAGACACACTATAAATACACAATAGCACATACATCAAAGAGGCAAAACTATGCTGTGTAAAATTGGCCATGTGGGTCTCTCTGGCCTCCTGGGTCTGCCTCTAGCTTCCCCGGTCTGGATGCTCATGCTTAGTCCCCAAAATGAAGTCACCCCTTTGAAGGTCTAGGCAACACCCCTAAAAGTCTGAGAAGTCAGTCACAAGGCTATTTTAAAAAATACAATAAAATGGACAAATCCTAAACGGGCCCTTTAATGCCCACAGCGATGTAACCACAACCTTAGTCAAGATACAGCCTAGCTCCCCAGTCCCCAAGATCTCTTTCCTTTGCTGCCAGCTCCACCCTTACCTCAGTTCGAGCTCTGTTGTGGTTTCTGTGAACACAGAAGGAATTCCCCTCTTCTGGAACTTCACATTAAAGGAACCATAGCCCAATTTTTGATCTGTTTTCTTTTGCTGAATATAATTTGAGGTGCTTCTTGTTATGACCTGGTGGCTCTTGGTCTACATTTTCCTTTTGGGGGTTGTTTCTAGGTTTGAGCCATGAGAAATAAGACAGCAGTATACATTACTTTGCAAATCTTTTTGTAGCTCTGTCCTCACCTCCCCTGGAGAAGTATCTAGAAATGAAATCGTGGAGTTGTGGGATAGTCGTATGTTTTCTTCAGAGAAACTGCCAGTTTTCCAAGACTGTCGTAAGTTTGCACTGGCGCCTCCTGTGTGGGGCATTCAGGGTGTCCTGTAGCCACGCCGACATTTGCTATGGGAGTATAGCCTCAGCATACATGGTCTTCATGTGTACCCCCCACCCCCCGAGTGACTGATACACTGAGAACCACCGGTGTTTCGTAAGCCTGTCTGTGTCATTGTAAGTGAAGAATCATTCAAGTTGTTCCCATTTTAATTGGTCCCTGTGACTTTTCCCAGGGAGACATAAAGAAATGTCTACTTGTTGGTTGTTTTTTACTCTTTTGGCTTTTGGGGAGAGGGCCTACCACCCAGCTCCCAAATAAATCACACACCAAGTCCTATTCTTTCTTATTAATGTTCGACCTTAGCTTGGCTTGTTTCTAGCTAGTTTTTCTTTAACTTAAATTATCCCAGCTACCTTTTGCCTGTGAGCTCTTTTTTTTCTTACTTCTGTATATCTTACTTGCACTCTTATTCCATGACTAGCTGGGTGGCTGGCCCCTGACTTCATCCTCTCTCTGTTCTAACTTGCTCCTCCCCTTCCCAGGGTTCTCCTCCTATTTATACTCTGCCTGATAGCCTCACCCATCCTTGCTCCTGCCTTGCTATTGGCCATTCAGCTCTTTATTAGACCATCATGTGTTTTAGACAGGCAAAGAACCACAGCTTCACAGA